CCCCCCCCCCCCCCCCACTCCTTGAGGTGCAGCCCATGCCTGTTGAGAAACTCTAAGGGATTTGATATGAGTATTGCACTGAGCCTGAGGGGAATTTTTGATAGGTACCTTTACACTAGTAGTTATAGAGGTATACATCTTTTTTCATGTGTTCACACAAGTGAATGGATTATGATATGAATATTGTTGAGTATGTCATTAACTCACTGTTATAATTGTAGAAAATCCTTTTGAATTATTTTTAAAATATTAAATTAGTCAATGATTAAGTGCTTTTGCACCCTTTTCTTGTATCATACCCTCTTCACATTTACCCTCTTCCATCCCAGTCTTCATGTAAATCATTCCAAATTGCTTCTAATCCAATTTACTTATGTATGCTTTGTCTACATGGTAAGTAATAGAATTAACCTTTCCACTTTGTTAAAGCTGCATTCTCATAAATTCATATTAAACCCCACTTTTTACCAATAACCTTGATGATGATTCTTTAAGCATTTCAACCACTCATTTGTGAACCTCTCATCATTGCAGAAACCAATGCTTTGAATTCTTAAAAGCTGCTTGTTTGACTTCAGCTGGGCTTCTCACACCATTACCCAAGCCATGACTGCAGACTTGGATGCAAGCATGACTTCATTCCAGATTCTCTCACACTATTTAAGGCAGATGTTATGTCTCTGAGCCTGCAGGTAGACATGGGAAGGATGGCCTCTGGACCTTCACAGGCTTTCTTCATAGTTCTAATGAGCTCATTAACCCTCCCACCGCCTCAGTTTCCCAACAGTATAATGAAACTCATTCTATATGTATTTAAATAAGCGATTTTATGAACCAACTATGCTTGGTATACCAGCATTTGTAAAAACGGTGCCTGTGACTAGAAATGTCATGTAGCAGAGACAGAACTAGGATTCCTTCCTTGCAGTACAAATAAACAAAATTTATAAAACCTGTGGTGAGACACTTTTTTTACAGGGAAGTGAAATTGCATTTGTGTTTCATTATTGCCATCACAAAGGTAACAACAAGTGAACAGATTTTTCTTTCTGGGTTGCTAAATCTTCAGGACAATTTTGTAAAATAAGAGTGAAATCATAGCACTTGAAACAGAGGCAAAGACCATGAATATGCAAAAAGCATATCTATCAAGCATGAAGTCTGATATTCAGAAGTGTGACAGAGCAAAGACAACCCTGGTATGCTCATTGTAAAAGTTGTATGAAGTAGCTTCAAGAAAAGAAACTGGTGATGAAGGAGAAAACATTTTTAGAAAGCTGTCTCAATGATGGAAAATGGAATGCTTGAAATCTTTTACTCAAATTGCGTATGGAAGATATATTCAGGGAAGCTCAGCTATAGCCTAGCTTTCAATTTACTGTGGTATAAATGAAGAAACTGCTCTACCAGGGAAAAGATCAATGACTCTTTTTCCTTTCTCCACTTTAATTAACTTCACTCTAGAGCTTCAGCTGATATTTATATGCAGGAAAAATGCTCTTTGTCTTTCCATCTGGCACTAGAAGCATCAGCAGAAGGTGTAATCTATCTGTTTTCATGGGGGGTTGGTTGAATCGCTGGAGGGGAAAAATGGACACTAGACAGGACTTTATGATGTGAAGACAACACCCCTTATTAGTGCAATGACATCATCAAATACCACTTACCTAAATGGTTACACTGTGAATCTTGCTTGTCCAGTCTGTCCTCTGGGATATCAAGTGGCTGAACACATTCTGTTGACATCATTGTAGTGGGCTTTTCTACCCTTATGAAAATATTACACCACATTAAAAAAAAAAATTGAAAAAAGAAATTCAGCAGCATGATATAAAACAGACATATTGGTGTTACCTAACGACTGATGAGGAGTTCTTGTCTTTCAGCAGTCTGCTGACCTCATTTTTTACAGTAACCTGTTTTTCCACCTACCTTGCTGTAAGCAACCCACACTAGCATGGATTGGCTCTACAGAAAAACATTTATTTTTTTTGGAGCGTACAGAAAGTGCTATCTCATACAGAAAGTCCTATATCATACACAATGTAAATGCTAAGGAATGGGACGTTTTGTTCCGGTTTTCTTCTCCTTTTTTTCTCAACTGTAAGCCAAGGATCATATTTGGTATTTATTATATGAAGCAGCTTTAATCATGAATTCTGTTGACTTAGTCTTATAAGTCCAGCTCCACTAAGAAACCTTGCATACCCCAGAAAAACCAGGGGTAAAGTACTGCCTTCAGAAAGATGGGCAGTGACCACAGACCCCAAAGCAATCATGAAATAAATTTACTTATCACTTTGGTAAGACCATGGGAACCCATTTCACACAGCTATATAAGTGTACATGCTCTGTAAGTCTCACTGGATTGCTGTTTGAGATATTTTATTCCCTTTTACTTATAGCTGCAGTGGGTGTTGAAGCCCATCCTCACCCATCCTCCTACCTGAGCTTCCCCAGCACCTTGCAAGCTGAGATGTGATCCTGGGGCTGCCACAGATGCCACCATAGAAGGAAGAAAATTAGACCATTTTTCACAGCTGATCATTTCTATGGTTGCTTAGCAGAAACTCAACAGAATGACAAAAGCAATGTTAAAGGGAAACAAGCCTCAACCTGAAAGTGCAGTCCAAGAGATCTCAGTATCTGCCTTCATCCAGCAACAGCTGTGGTGGTTTCTTATTCACAACCTCTGTTCTCCATTTTCAGGGAATAAGAGCAGACTGTGATTTCCTTGTAAGGAGGAGAAAGGCAATGAGGAAAAGACTGGAGACATTATGAATAATGGATGAAAGAAATAATTGGGAAAAAATAGAGAAAGGGGAGGTAGAGAAGGAAAGGCAAATAAAACAAAGGTAAGAAAAGAGGCAGCTGGAGAATAACAGTGAAAAGGAGGATGGGAAAATAGGAGTCTAAACTGTGTGAGTTTGGTTTTATCTTGCTGGAGGAAAAGAAATTACCTTATGATTTCTCTGTAAATTACAATGGCTGTTTGTTGACAAGAAACAGAACAGTAGGGGAGTTAATCTCATTTCCATGACTAAACTTGCATCTATGTAAAGAACAAGTAACCCTTGAGCAAAATCCAGTCACAAAAATATTCACAAAGAATGTAGGAAAGGTTGCACTGATGTAGTTCTTCACTGGATGGAAACACATGTCTTAAATGCCAGTAACTTAAAAATAAATGGAATAACACTGCTGTTACAGATGGATATTTAGATAAGCCCTTTCCTTTTGCCCAGGCCTCTGGCAGCAAGCATTAGCTTTATTGAGGCAGCTGGCACCCCAAAGTCCACTCTCATTCACAAGTTCTTTAATAATGGCTGATTTGGTCTATTATAGAATTAATTATTTAGCTAATTTAAAGTCAAAACTAATTTAAAGTCAAGACTTAAACCAAACTAATACTACACAGGATAAAGACAAAAAGAAAAGAGACTACTAGTAGATATATACAGAGCGAGGTTAAAGGTACCTATTAATGTTACAGCTAGCAAAGAAATAATGTAACTTAGGATTCAATGTATCTTACCATCCAGTTGTTGGTGAGGCACACATTGAGATCCTTTCCCTCAATCCCCAGGGAAGTAACCTCGGACTTGTGTCCAAACTCTAGGGAGAAGTCTCCCAGACTTTTAGGGTGTGTGTGTAGAGGCTCCTACCTCTGTGATAACTCATGTATCTTTTATAGTTTGTAAAATGGTGTCTCTCAGTCAAGAATATTTCCTTTATCTCTTCCCACATCTGCTGTCCAGACTAAGATGTTGATTCTTAGCTAAAGTTTGAGCCCTTTTGGCACCAGGGGTGACCTCTTGCTGGGCCTTTCAGCCCCTAGGTTATCTCTTCATGGACCAACTCTCTGTGGTAGAGAGGAGGTGGGGTAGACATCCTGCCACAACTGCCTGGCAGCATCAAATTTGACTCATGTCAACATCAAAGGTTGATGTTGACTGATACTGTACATATGGGATTAATTCCCTTATGTTTTACTATTTAAAATTTACAAAAGTTTGTAATATTCTACAAATTTTTAGAGCCTTAGTGAATCAGGCCTAGATGAGGGATTTCACCTCCAGATGTTCACTATAGAAATGTCCAGCCTCACATCTGTACCAAAGTGTCATTCTGCCTGAAGGCTCATTTGCCTTCACTGCAAGAAAATCCTTCATTTGGGAAGGCTCTACAGAAAGAAATCTTTGAAGGCGCCTTGACATGGTTTCTCTGTTTATTCACCATATAAGTAAGCTATAGCTGTGGTTCAAAATGAAGCAGTCATCTTTTTATTGAATTCAAAACTTATTATCTGGCCATATGAAGGCTTACACTACATTTTGTGATTTGAGCAGGTTTTATTCTTCAATGCCATTTGACTTTATTGGATTTGATTAGGGCATGCTGACTAAATATTATGACTAGTTAAAGTGTTATTTTCTGAAGAATACTCTGTTTACAAGGTTTTCAGTAAAATCAGGGATGTTATTTCAGACACTATGGACATTTTTGTTTTTAACATGTCTTGAGGCAAAAAGGGCTGAGGATAGATAGCAAAGTTTAAATGTAAAATTGGTAGTAAATTATATTTACTGGAAATGGCTTAAAAAATATAGTTAAATTTGGTTAGATTTCAATGAGTTGCTTCATTGAATTATTTCACCCAATAAAAATTAAGTTTTGTAGAGACTTAATATAGGATTGATTAATTATTTTTTCTTAATATGATAGTTTGGAAAATATTATTCTAAAATACATCCCTTAGAACTGTGTTCATATTTTCATTGTCACAAATGCCAAGCCTTTGGTATCTTCAGTGCTTTAAAATTCTGTTTTGAAGGCTAACTTCTGACACTCCACTTTCTTTCTTTTTTAAGTGTGCCCTGAAGCCAGCATTGCCTTGCTTAGAAAAGCACTGCACTTTGCAACAGTCTGTGTCACAAAAGAATGAAAAGATAAAGATTACCAGAATATATCATGGATTTTGGTATCTCAGGTGTATATACATTGTCTCTGGCGTGTGAACCTGTGAGTGGTGTTACTCCTGTCACCACGGATTACACACGGAGCTCTCCTCCAAAGGAAGGTTGCTGTATGTGACCATTGTAATGGTGCTTTCCCATCCCAGTAAAATCAGTTCCTGCCACTAAGGAAACAGATTCCCCAGTAACATTTTCTGTGGGAAGGTAGCCTGCTATAGGAACTGTATGAAGCCATTAATATGGCTTTAAAAACTGAAGCATGTTCTCAGATTTTCATGCATTAAGTGCAAGGCTTTTCCTAGCAGCCTTTATGTTAGCACAGTTTGCACACTCTGCTGCCCTCAGTCACCTTGGTCGCGCATGCTTGCTATTCATGTGATGAAGGAAAGCATTTTTTTCTTGCACTCTGTTATGCCTCTTGACATAATGCTCCCCATTTATCCTTTGTGCACCTGTAATTGTTACATTGGAGGCTAATTCACACAGAATAGAAGATACTTCCTGAGATGCTATAGATTTTTCTATATGATTTAGGATTCAGTTGTCATTTAGCCAGGGACTTTGGTATGGTGCAGCTGGGCTGTACCACTCTCTGCAGAGATATGTGCCTAAGTCGCACCTCAAGTCTCTTATTTCTAGGAAAAGAGAGAGCTGATAGAGAGAGACAGATGAAATGATCTCCTAAAAGTTTAAGCAAGTTCAAGCTTTGCCTACATAGTTTTGTGTTGCTCCTTGTTGTAGCTTCTGGCATGAGACTGGATTGGCTCTACTTACAGACAGAGAAGGGCAATGAGTGATAAGACAGACTGAAAAGTGCAAGTATTACTAAAGGCTGCTTCAGCCTCATGTGAATGAAATCTCATGCTGAATCGCTGTCATATAACAGCATGACTCCTTTGGGCATACACCCTTGTAAGATATGGTATATCTGAACTTTTTGCTTTCTGGATATCATCTTTGGATTTTTAGAAAGATTAAAGCACATACTAAAATTTTTTTCGAAATTATCAGTTGCTGTACCAGCTTGATTAAAGTGCCAAAATAAAGCTATATTATCACTCACTAATATAGTCCTAAAACACCAAGAACATAAATTCTTGCAAGTAATATGATTACATTCTTTGCTTAAATTTTTGGTTTCCAGAACAAAATTCACTAATGCAACCAGTTCCAGGCTTTATAAATATTTTTAAAATATATATAATATAATATAATAAAATTAAATTAAATTATATATATGATCATATATAATTTTAAAAATATGTATAAAGTATTTTTTTAAAATACTTTGCTAGAGACAGATGCAGGAACCTGTTTTGGTTTACTATTTTAATACACAGTTGGTTTAATGTAGATGTGTGTCACAAGTAATCAGCTTAGAGTTTAGGGAATACTCAGTACACCTCCTCTCATATATTTATAAGATGATGTAAATCTTTCAAGGCAGTCCAATAATGTGACATTTAAACTTAAAATGAAATCTCATGAGAAAAAACCCTGTAAGATAGAAAACTAAAGCTTTGAGAACAAAATGAAAGGGCTGGACTTATTTTTCATTTGATCTTGAATTAGGCATGGAAGTGGCTTGGGGGAAAATCTCAATTTCTTGTCTTCTCTGAAGGTTTGAAAGGTTACAGGGGCTATGTAACTGCATGGGTATTAGGTACTATGGATAGTTGTGTGTAATCTGAAGGGACAATGCAGTTCTCAAATGAGTCACCCATAGGTGATCTAGTGATCTTTCTTACCTATAAGACGGAGAAATGAAGTTCTGATACACAATTCTTATAAAAGTTTACAGGGGTTATGTGGGTATTAATGTCAATACTCCTCACCATTGTACATTAAGGCTTGTGATTTCTTTGTATAT